GGGGGAAGAGACTCTCTGGCTTTACAATGACATTTTCAGGGATTGCTAAAAATAAAATGAAGGTTATGTCGCACAAAAGAGCGGAGCCGTGCACCCAGGATGAAGTAGGCTGACGTTTTGGTTGAAATAACGATACATGTGCCAAACCGTATAGCTGTCTGACTTTCTCAAGGTCGTAGGAGTTTGGTAAAGGCAAGGGTCAGAACAGTTCAAGGTAGGGATTCACCGATACCAAGTACCGTACTCGGTACAAGTACAACTACAGATACTTTTGAGCTCCAAGACTAGACTAGAGAAAAACTCAAAAGTTAGGAGGCGGCTGTCATTTGTAAGGAGCACACGGAGCTCCCGGGATTTGTACATCTCTGTTATAATGTATGATTTTGTTTTTATAAATATATATATAAGTGATGCATCGATACCAATTTTGCGAGTACGAGTACTGATACTTGCCCAAGTACTCACAGATACAAGTACTGATACATTTTTGTTTATTGTCATATGACAGTTTTTCTGAAACAATACAGACTAATGATTTCAGGACAGTGGTGGAGCGCCAGAGCCCGGTCCCAGCTGCAACCGCTGCAACCCTGGTAGTTCTCATGCAAATGCCAAGTATCGGCACTGGTATCTGAACTGGTATCTGAAAAGTATCGGTGCATCCCTAGTTCAAGGGAATTTATTTTTAAACATGTACTATACTGATCAGCTTAAAATGAAAGGATTCCCTTAAACCGTATGTGAAGGCAAATGTTTCGGATGTAATAGGGAAGATTTAGATTAGTGATGCACTGATACCAGTTTTTCGGTACCGGCATTTTTCTTTTGCACTCCCCGATACAGAATACCGTTACCAGAAGTCCCATTAAGGAAGCCAGGTGGCGTGTAATGACTCACCGCCCGGCTTCCCGATTGGCGGGGAAGCTGGCCAAAGCTTCCTGATTGGTCTGGTTCCCGACCAATCAGGAAGCTGGGCGGCGAGTCATTACCTACCCCCTTTTTCCTGATTGGCCGGGAAGCCGGCTCCAAGCTCCCTCATCACCAGGTGACGGGAAAGCATGAAGCCGGCTTTCTGGCCAATCAGGAAGCCGGGGAGCAGGTAATGACTTGCCGCTCAGCTTCCTGATTGGTCAGCCTCCCAACCAATTAGGAAGCCGGACGGCCGGACCAAGCGACAAGGGGGTATGGAGCCGGCTTCCCGGCCAGCCAGGAAGTCTGGCAGCATGCATTGACTCGCCGCCTGGCTTCCTAATAGTGGAAGTTCTGGTATCAGGAATAGTATCGAAGCATTTGGGCGAGTGCTCGCCCAAATACTCGGTATCGGCACCTATACCGATACTAGTATCGGTATTGGTGCATCCCTAATTTTTGTACAACCGATATTTTTGTGGCTGCCTATGACCCCAGTGAGGAGATTCAACCCTCCATTCGTCCTGATGACCATGGTCACTGAAACACAAAGTTAAGGGAAATCACTAGTATTAGATGGTCACATTCAACTGGACTTGTTCTGTAATGTGGAAGATGTTTTATATCTTATCCAAGTCATTTCTTCAGTTCTAATTGTCAATGACCTAAAATCAATATCCACACCATGGAACATGTCAATGCAGATGTTGATCATCCAAGAACAGGATGGGAGAGGTGAAAATTGTGGAACCACCTTGTTCTAGTAACATAATCTTATCCTTGGTGTCTTTGATTCACATGACAAGGTGAACATTGCTGTCAAGTCACCAGGTTAGAGATGTTTAAATAGCATTATGTGTGGAAGACAGATGGTGTCGAAGGCCCTCATCCCTGCTCAAAAATGGAAGTTCAAGTTTGACGTTGATGGCCTCTTTCATGCATCTTGTGAACCAGTTGTCCTCTCTGCCCAAAATGTGCACCTCACTGTCCTCAAGAATATGTCCCTGTTCCTTATAGTATAGCAAAATTCTTGACCTGTAGAGTTTGCCCTCCTGTGATGGGCCATTTGTTTATTGAGAGGTTACTCTCCCCAGGTCTTTGCATGTCTCCCTACACTGCGCTGCATATACCGAGTTACTTTGATTGTGTTTGGTTGAACAATCTTCTGCCTTCAGTGTATTGCTGGACTTGAAGGACACAGGGATGTTTGTTTTTCCGATGCTGGCAAATTAGGTTGGCAAATTAGTCATAGAGTTGTTGTCAAACTGACCAATGCACATTGACACTGCTAAATTTGGTCTGGGCACCTAGGCGTCAATAAACACTGGTCTGGAAAGGGTTAAGGACAATTATGGACAAGAGCAAAGATGACCGGTATAATAAACATACTAAGACAGTGGCCAAAGAATCTTACAGTCTCATGAAACTTACTTGTGGCTTAGGAAGGTACTCAAGGTCTGGTTACTCCTAATGCCAAGCACCACCTGTCGATTCAGGTAGACGAAGAAAGCGCCGAGAAACCCGCAGCAGATCCTGCAAGGAGATAGAATTAAGATCTTGTAGCCCAGGTCAAACCATGCAATCACCGACTGTACATAGGCAAAGGTCCAAAGAAGGGCAAGTAAAATGACCAGAAGGACGGACAGGTCTCGCACACAATGAGAGGTCAGAAAACCTGGCCTGTCTAGCTTGGATTAAAGTCATCTTAGAAGTCATCAAATTAACAAATTAACAAATTTAAGAAGGTCAATAAATCAGCCTGAGAAATACATTTTTGGACAAATGGAAAGCCTTAGAAGTTCTGTCTAGTATCTAATGTAGTCTCCATCCTCTCTAGGGGGGTTTCACCTCACTTCCTGTCCCAGAGACTCAACAGGAAGAGAGGAGGAAAATGTAGGGGAAATCTTAAGCTTGACAGCTGTCTCTGGTCTAGATGTCCCCAGCGGGAGATTTCCAGGCAAAAAAAGAAATGAGCACATCAAATCCCAGATAGATAACTTAATTCTTCCATAGTGTATCCAAAACAGTAGAATATGGTTTTGTCTGGAATTCCACTTCAAAGCTGAACTCTGGGATCACCATAATAAATCTCCCTGAGCTCCGTCTCCCCAAGACTCTACCCTTTTTTGCCATGATTTGATTAAATTCATTTGACATAAAAAAAAGCTTATACGCATCAAATCACGGCCACAAATCTTCCTCAGTCCAACTGCAAGTGGCGGGGTTCTGCACTGACCTATAGAGAAACAAGATGTCACCAGCACATCAGAGGAATGTGTCCAAATAAACATCTTTATTGATGCATAGACATAATGTCACAAAGATGGCAACGTTTCGGATACACGCAGGGTCCCTTCATCAGGCTCAATATGACAATATTTCAATGAGCCTGATGAAGGGACCCTGCATGGCCCCAAAATGTTGCCAATATGTCTATGCGTCAATAAAGATGTTCATTTGGACACATTTCTCTGGTGTGCTGCTGACATCTTGTTTCTCTATTAATCTGAGCGGCACCATCCACAGTCATTTCAGCATCTATCCTTAAGGGGGTTCACCTTCAAGGAGTGTGGAGGGATACCTACTGGACTGCATTGAATTATGTCTCCCACAATGCATTGAGACTGTAGTGCTGCCACTGGGTGATGATAGGGGAGCTATCTTGTCCCCTGTCACATCCCCATACTGTAGCTGTGCTTGTGTCTATTGGTAGCTTATAAGAGAAGCCAGTCATTATAAAACTGTGGGCGAGGAAGGAAGTGGTCACAAGCAGACACTGTCTCCACCCCACTGGACCAGGATTATGTGGTAGCGTGATACCTGCAAGTCGAACTACAGCAGGGTTGTTCCATGACCTGTCACCTAGTCATAGAGAGCAGGCAGCAGAGACTGGTCGTGCAAAGAGGAAATTAGTTCCCCACAACTATTTTGACACTCCGGAGGAAAAAGCAGGAATTATAGTCAATCTCAGGTAAGCCAATGCATTGACAAACGATTACTATTACATGTGTTATGCCTGGAGTTCAGCTTTACCGTTATATCTTAAAGTCTAACGCCTGCCAAACCCTTTTTTCTTTCAGCTTTGGACAAAGTGGGTAAAGGTTAGAACCTCTTCTAGGTTCACCATCGCGTGTGGCCAACAGGACAGGCAATCTTACAATGGGGACACATGACAGCTGTCCAACACTCTCTGTTTGCCTGAGGAAAGGGCCACATGGTGCCGAAACGTTGCTTAGGAGATGTGTATCATCACAGTCAATAAACATTATTGACTTTATTACTTTTGGAGTGCGAGTAACTACTTCCATTTATTCATACTTTGCGGAGGCATCCGTTGTCGCTACTGCACCCGCCCTGTTGCATTGGGCATCTTCCGGTCAGGAGTGCGATGGGACATGAGGATTAAGCTGTCCAATAGGGAATTTCCTTTTGTGTCTCTGGATCTCTGGAACAGGAAGTGATAAAACTTCCCAATGGGGACAGAGCCAGAAATAAAAAAAAAAAACAACTAAAAGACCCTTCTCCATTCTACCCCCAAACTAGATCAAAATGTTCTAGCAACAGTTCTATTTTTAAGGAATGGACAAAGGACAGGAGGACATGGGTTACCTAGAGAGAAAAGAGGACTTAGGGTCCCCACACACCTTACGATTATCGTACGATAATCGCGGGAAATCCCGCGATCGTACGATGATCGTAAGGTGTGTGGAAGCCGTGCGACCTCTACTACTGTACGGTCGCACGACTTTAAACTTACGGACATGTTCGAAAACCCGCCGAGCATCGTACGATGTTCGGCGGGTTTGTGGCATGTCCGTGCGATAACAGCCGTACGGGCCGGTGTGCGCAAGCGCACACTGCCCGTTCGGCATTGCGGTAATCGGAAGCCCGCCCCTCAGGGGGCGTGGCTTGCAATCATCGCAAGTACGATCTGCCTATGCAAGATAGGCAGATCGTACGTTTTTTTAAGTACCTTACAACCATCGCAAGACAAAAGTCTTGCGATGGTTGTAAGGTGTGTGCCCAGACTTAGGGAGGTTTTCTTTACAGTAAGGATCATTAAGCTGTGGAATTCTCTACTGAATTAGGTCATAATGGCAAAATAATTAATGGGAAAAAAAAAAAGAATTGGGTCATTTTCTTACAATCAATTATTCCCACTGTTATAATTAATAAAGGATAGTATGGAAATATTTTAATCATGGGAAATGATAAAACTACTCCTGGGGAAGGATTTAACTTTTCCTGTTTGGCAACATTTGCATCAGTTTCCCCGCAGGACTAAAACTCCAGGAATTGTAAGAAATCGATGGACGGGAGTCTTTTTTTTTAACCATCTTAAAATAAACCCATCATGAGCTCAGTATAGGAAATCCCATTGCTAACCTCCTTTAGAAAATGCTTGTTTTCCGACAGTTAATGGAGGGATTAGGCTAAAGCCCCATTCACACTAAGCGACATACCTTTTGCAGCGGATCCGCACGGCTGGGATAGCGCGACTTTCGGGGCGACGATCCAGCGACGGTAGCGCGGCCTTCACCGTTGGGCTCCATTAAAAAATAGAAAAATCTGCTGAAAAAAGGGTCCTGCTAGAGCGACAGCAACGGGCGACATGGAGCTAAGACAGCTCCATTAAATAGCATTGGGCGGCGACTTCTCGCGATATCGCGCAGCACAAATGCACGATATGGCGGCGGAAATCGCGTGATAAATCGCTTAGTGGGAATGGGGCCTAAAGGATGGAAGCAAGGGATCTTACCCAATAACTGCAAAGGCCGGTAACTCTTGTAGGTCGAAGGGGAACTCCATACGAAAGTTAGTGCGGAATAGTGCAGTGATGGTAACTGGAAGAAAAAAATAGGTTATTTGTTAGGTTCATTTGTTTTTTTTTGGGTTAGAGATTGGTGTTTCCCTGTGTATTTTGGTTTGCCAAGGGATCCAACAACACTGTTCATTTTGTAAATAAGTAATTTGAATAAACACTGATCAGCCATAACATTATGACTACCCGCCCAATATTGAGTAGGTCTCCCTTTCCCTGGCCTGTTGAGGCATGGACTCCACTAGACCTCTGAGGGTATGCTGTGGTATCTGGCACCAAGCCTTCAGTAGCAGATCCTTTAAGACCTGTGGGCCTCCTTAGCTCCCCCCATGTGCATTAATGAGCCTTGGCTGCCCAAGACCCTGTCGCCAGTTCATTGGTTTTCCTTCCTTGGACCACTTTTGTTAGGTCCTGACTATTGCAGAATGGGAACATCCCACAAGAGCTGCAGTTATGGAGGCTGAAAAATGTAAATGATTAAATTAACTCATCTTGTCTAAATGTAACAAGTCTATTCACAAAAGGGCGAAGAGTTTGGAGAAGGCCGGAGAAGTGAACAATCTAGGATAAGATAGCTGAACCGGAAAAATTCTCCAATTCAGCTCACTTTCCAGTTCAGCTATGTTGTCCTAGATTGTTCACTTCTCCTGCCTTCTCCAAACTCTTCACCCTTTTGTAAATGACACTGTGAATGTTTTGATTGAAGGTCATCTCACCCCTTTAGGACTATAGTCCTAGTAGGGTCAAACATAGATCTGTAATCAGACAAAAAGAGGGAAAAAAAACAACAAAATAAAAATAAAAAAGGGCAGAGTTGATCCTTGTCAATGTTTCCATGTGGATCTATGTCCTGTGGAGATGGGTTTCAACAAACCTTGGCATATCAAGCCAGCTTTCTTTATCAGGTCAAGCTGTCCTGCAAAAGTGGCAGATAGAGGGTTGAGCCAAACCATTTGTCCAGTTTGGCTTTCATTTTTAATTTGTTAGTTAAAGTGACACTAAACTCAGGAGTTATTTCTTAAAAATGCATTCAGGTACCTTAATTATTAACAACAATGTATCTTATTTGTGTATCACTCGGCAGTCGATCCTCCAATCATCTCTGAAATGGTGCTGACACTGTCCTTCCTTCTGGAGGGGGAGGCTACTTTTGTTCCCCATGGTTCCTGTGTGTGTTGTAAAGTAGTCACCGCTCCAAGCTCACTCCCGGGATGGACTACAATCTCTATACAAATCAGTGAACTAAACATGAGATTGTAGTCAATCACGGGAGCGAGCTTGGAGCGGTGACTACTTTACAACGCACACAGGGACCATGGGGAACATAAGTAGCCCCCCTCCAGAAGGAAGGACAGTGTCCGCACCAATTCAGAGATGACTGGAGGATCTACAGCCGAGTGATACACAAATAAGATATATTGTTGTTAATAGTTCATTGACTTGAATGTACTTATAAGGTTTAACTCCTAAATTTACTGTCACTCTAAGTCCATCTAAAATTTACTATTCCAGTTAACACTGCTCTCCCCATAGTGTAACAATGCTGCTGTCAACGGGTGGCTCCGTTGCTCCTATATAGGAGCCTAAAGAGAAGAAAACCAATGGAGCCACCAATTGTAGTCAAGCAGGGGGGCGAGCTTGGAGCGGTGACTACTTTACAACACACACAGGAACCATGGGGAACAAAAGTAGCCTCCCCCTCCAGAAGGAAGGACAGTGTCCGCACCAATTCAGAGATGACTGGAGGATCTACAGCCGAGTGATACACAAATAAGATATATTGTTGTTAATAGTTCATTGACTTGAATGTACTTATAAGGTTTAACTCCTAAATTTACTGTCACTCTAAGTCCATCTAAAATTTACTATTCCAGTTAACACTGCTCTCCCCATAGTGTAACAATGCTGCTGTCAACGGGTGGCTCCGTTGCTCCTATATAGGAGCCTAAAGAGAAGAAAACCAATGGAGCCACCACATTTAAAGACTGGTAAACTGCAATATTTCACATTTTTGTTTTGGGGATTAGATATGCTTTAAGGTTAACCTAATAAAAATATGAAAAAAAGCCTGAAGCTTCCTCTGCTGCCTGGAAATCATAAATATGACATAATAAAAAGCAATATGTAATATTTACCGGAGAAAAGGTACAAAAATATACTTTATTTTTAGCCCTAAACATAATAAACAACATTTTTACATACACACACACAATACAATATATCTGAAGAACCCCATTGCAACAATGTAGACTGTAACCTACCCGCATCTTTGTTCCATACAGCCAGGACACGGAAGATAAAGGCACTGAAGGTGGCGGCGAAGAATCCACGCCAGTAGTTCCTTACCGCAAAATAGGAGGAGGTCACCTCAATGCTGAACAACACACCTAGGCGATAACACACAGGATGACACAACGTAATACGCGGCTACATAACAAAGAGGTGTCGACACAAAGTACACCGTACTCTCCAGCCCATTGGTTACATCCAATAATATACAGGGTTATTCACAAAAGGCTGAAGGGTTTGGAGAAGGCAGGAGAAATGAACAATCTAGGACAACATCGCTGAACTGGAAAGTGAGCCGCATTGGAGAAGCTTTCCAAATCAGCGATGTTGTCCTAGATTGTTCCCTTCTCCTCCCTCCTCCAAACCCTTCACCCTTTTGTGAATCGCCCTGATAGATTCTTAAGAAATCCACTAACAGTTCACTGACTCTATATAAGACTCCATTTTTAAAAAGAACTTTAGTACTTTCCATGGGAGGCATGGAAATGTAATATTTTGATTCTTAACTCTGGTGTGTGGCCACTCCTGGTGTGAAGAACATCTGGGTCATGACAAAACAAAACAGAACTAAGCTCCCGTGACTCATTGGGAGGCTTCTTATTTCTAGGAAGAATGCAGTGAGTTCAGCAAAATGGATTTTGCTGTCAGAGAAATTCTGCTGCAATGGAAACCCTCTACTGAGCTCATTATGTTTTTTTTTTAATTATATATACAGTATATATATTTTGGGTATTTTAGTGTTCTTTTATGTTGGGTTCTTTCCTTTTTTACATGTTTAATTAAATACTTTTGACTTTTCATTCTTATTAGCATTTTTTGTGACTAAATTTAAGGTTTTTAATGGGTCAGTTGACTTCAAAAAGATACAGTATTTCAGTGTTTGGTAGAAGCTGGAGAGTTGAGTCATCTGGCAGACTCTTCCTTCTCTCTGTGACTCTATTGTGGAGATCTCTGCACAGAGTTCCTGGGTTTGTACACCTGCTGTGCCAATTATGTATGGCTACCACCACCTATGAGCTGAGTTCCAATGTCTGCTAGTGACCATTATGAGGGGCTCCTGCCATCACTGCACAGTTCCTGGGTCTGCACACCTACTGTGCCTATTATAAGGAGCTCCCGCTATCCATGCGTTGAGTTCCCTGGTCTGCAGAACTGCTGTGCCCATTATGAGGGGTTCCGACCATGCCTGTATTGAGTTCCTGGGTCTACATACCTACTGTGCCTGTTATTAGGAGTTCCCAGCATCACTGCACTGATTTCCCAGGTCTGCACACCTACTGTGCCCATAATGTGGGGTTCCCACCATCCCTGCATTGAGTTCCTGGGTCTGTACACCTGCTCTGCCAATAATGAGAGGATCCTACCATCCCAGGACTGAGCTCCTGGGTCTGCACACCTGCTGTACTCATATTTAGGAGCTCCTACCATTCCTGTACTGAGTTCCCAAGTCTGCACACCTGCTTTTCCCTTTACGAAGGGCTCCCACTATTATAAGGGGCACCTTCAATCCCTGATTTTGTTTTGTTTTTAAATTAATTTTATACCATGGCGAATGTAACAGGAAGAGCGGGATCACACAAAGGTGTGTGGGAACACCCAAGGTGGACAGAAACAAGGTCAGGAATCATAGCAAGGAGACTTCTCTGTTGAAGTATCCAAGACATTCAAGAAGCCAGGGGCTGACTCAGCCCACTGATCCCCTCCCCTACAATATTACTTTTGGGTGGACTGGTCCTTTAACATTTTGTTGCCATTTTGTGTCTTGCTGGTGTACTTAGAATAATCATTGCATGCAACACAAAACATTTCACTCTCAGTAAGAGGATCATAATCAACTTGCCTCCCAGGGGGGTCCCAAAGCAACAGCCAACACCAACTGCACATCCCACCGTAAGAACGTCCGTGTAATAGTACGCCTGCTACTGATAGGCCATGGGTGACCACAGGACACGGACGATAGAAAATAGGACAATCAAGATGAGCGAGACCACCGAAGCACAGAAGGAGAAGCGAGCAACAAGTCAAACAAGGAGGAGGGGTGGGTCAATAATGGGGAAACATCAAGTATGAAACAAGGAAGGACAGAATGAAGGGTGGTGGGGAAGGGGGTCATGAGTTATACAGGACATATGTAGCAAGTCACAAGTCATTAACACAACATAGAAAACACAACAGACAGTTAAAAACAAAGAAGAAGGAGAAAAAAAATCAGCTTGTGAGTTAAAGACCTCAACCCAACCCCGATTTTCAGAATCCCCCAATCCGCATGCAGTTATTTGACTCCTCAGAGCTGGAAAGACGCCTTCTACAAACAGATGAAAATTCTTCCAACTCCAAGAAATGAAACAAGAAAACAATGGAAACCAAGAAAGGTGGAGTAGATGATAAGCAGATCTTCAATAAAGAAGACAGTGTCGCATGCCTTTAGGTCGGAGTTAAAGAGACATCTGTGAGTCAAGCTACATGAGAAAGTTTTCGATGAATTATAGGCAAAGAGCTACGTTCACGATTCAAATACATGTGTTGGAACTATTTAACCTGCCAAAGGATCTGTAACTCTGGCCAATCTTAAGAGTCACCCCCTGCATGGAAGGACAGCCAGTTCCCCGACCTCACTTTTCTCCACTGCAATTATAGCAATATAGCTTGGTCAAGGACCTCTCCAAGTCTACAACTGGACAGTGAAGGAAAAGCAGCACACTGATAAGGTCACTGTATGATATTGAGAGCGCTGTCCCGCCATGGCTGATATAAAGATAGACCAAGATACTCTTTAAAAATGCAATGAAGGTTATTTAATGGATACATAACTGTTTTTTTTTAAATATTTGCCTGTAGTTCTGCTTTGAGGTATGACTGGTCATCTACTGGCCTAAAAGTCTACCACGAGCAACCAAATTCAGGTTAGTGGTATCTATAAACTCCACCATGCCATCAACCATGCCATCAACCCTGCCAATAGATTGGCAAGGCAAGAATTGGCTGAGTAAAAGAGATTATTGGTAATCTGATCACATTTACAATAGTTGGCCAGATTTAACCAGATCTATCCCCTTCATCTTCTGCTCATGAAATGAGATCCCCTTCAGCTTAACTGGAGCTTCTTGTTTAGAACATCACCATACACGGAATCTAATACTTCTCAAGTTTTAATCATATTAGTGTTAAGAGTGAGAAATTACTTAATTATTTTGCTACATAGTAAAGAGAATAAAAAAGCTGTAGTCATTGGCTCTTTAGAGTGGAATGGGGTAAAAATATTTACCACTTATGGGGTCAATTGTAAAAGATGCACGGCGCCAGAGCCCCTAGATTTTGCTAATGAGTATAGGAATTCCCTATACTTGTCAGCGCCATCTAGGTAAGCTAGTGCTATGCGGACTGACATTTTATATATGAACCCCTGAGTGATATTTTCTTCTCCATTTTTAACCCCGTTCCACTCTAAAGCTCCAATGACTAAAACTTTTGTACGGCATCCGCCCAGCTATACACCCCTTTAAAGTTTATCTCTAACCTGTTTTTTTCTGGGTTCCATTTGGAAGATTTTCCTTCACTTCCTATCTCAAAGACACGACAGGAAATGAGAGGAAATCAATCCAAAGTGAGGTTAACCCCCTCTTGAGCACATATCACTAGAACATGCGTCCCCATGGAAAGATTTCCCCTCACGTTATAGTGACAATGGTAAAATTCTGGATTTCCCATCACTCTGTGTCCTAATGATAATGCTCACCAGGTCAAATAGAGAAAGTGCATCTCCTCAGCAGATGCATGGGGGGCAATAAAACAGAATGGGGGCTCAGCCCTTACCCATTCCATCCATTGGGAGGAGATACACTTAAAACAGGCTTCTTAAATATTCTAAGTTCAATAACCCGAATAGGAAGAGTAGCACCTACCTACAGGACAGTGTGGTTGCCTATGACTAGCATGGATCACCCTTAGCACTAGGTATCTCATGTAGCTTCCTTAGACAGATGGAAGAATATGGACAGAGAAGAGGTGAGAGGTCAGTAGCAGCCATAAGAGATGCAGGCCCAGTAGAGTTAAAACTCATAAGCAGCACTTGCCTCCAAGAGGTGCACCAAAGCAGCATCCAACCCCCACAGCACAGGCAGCGGCCAAAAGATCCAAGCTCCGGTGGGAGTCCTGAGTAAGGGTGTTATATATTTACTGGTGTGAACGCAAGCAGCATGACATCACAGGTATGTACATATCAGCGGAATAAAAAAAAACTACCACTGCCATGTTATTATCTATACAAACAGCTCACAAGGATGTATTTCCCAATTAGAAGATGTTTTGACACATAGTTCCTATGAGTCACATTTGGGTGGACTAACACTTGAACACAACTTATTAGACCAAGGACCTCAACAAGCCCTTAAACGTGAACATAATCCCTTTGTACGACAACCAGCTGTGGTTAACTTTTTTACATCTCTGTATCTTTATATCTTTACAAGCCCTGATGAAGGGGGATTCCCCTTTTCCCCCC